ACGCATAGGCCTCTGCTCCAGTACTTAAGGTCTGGTTGCACGCCCATTCCTGTCATTTAGCTCTTGCTCTCGTTGTAGCAATATCGATCTTGTATGTGCGAGCTGACCAGACCTTGGGTGGTGCCCGTCACACTTGGATAGAGTAGAAAATGTTTATCTTCAATATTTAGGAGCTAGATAAGCTAATTGCAGAGTTACAGATAATTTAATCAAAGTCTGATGGTTCGAACGAGCTTGTGTTTTCAGGGTTATGTGTGGATCTTGAAGTTGTTCACTCGCTTATCCTGTTCACTCGTGTGACGAATCTCGAAACCCCAACTTCTGAAAGGGACTCCTGAATGTTTAATTTGACAACGGGGTGAGGTTCGGTGAAGCCAAAGGGTTCACAACAAGCAATGTCCAAAGGTACCGACAATCTTGCGCTTGAGTTGCTTACTAGAGAACTCCCAGAGTCCTCCAGTAACGAGCGACTATATACTTAGTAGAGCGTTCATGATCGTCCATGATCGCAGTCTACCAAGAGCTATCCTTGATCACCTTGGGTAGCCAGCTACCCAGGTCTATACCCCTTGATCGTCCGGCCCCCACGGCTACCGTGTGGGCCTCGTGCGGTTCCTGCACTTCCTTAGGGGAACGATTGGCTCTGGGGCTCTGTCTTGTGCCCCACTGGGCCTGTACATATGGTTGGTTCATGACAACTCGCTTATCATATATGTTATATGTTTCTAGGCCAGTCATAGCTGGTTTAGTTTGTATTTTGTCTCACTTATTATTTAAGTCTAATCCCAACGTAACCAGTATCGTCCATGAAGCGGCAGTGTTGCAGCTTGTGAACTCTAGGTCTCCGTCTTAAGTCCTGTAGGTTGCAAGGCTGCTAAGTTAGGCTCAAGTGCTACTTTGACAGTACGCTTGCCTGCGTAAGAAGAGGTACGTGTGACGAATCTCAAGCCCCGACTTCTGAAAGGGACTCCTGAAGGTTATAGCTCTGACAACGGGTGAGGTTCGGTGAAGCCAGAGGGTTCACAACAAGCAATGTCCAAAGGTACTGACCATCTTGCACTTGAGTTGCTTACTGAGGAAGCTACAGTGATGCCCGTAGGGCTAAAGATCGTAGACTATATACAGCTTCCTCCCCCAGGTACCTCCGTACCTGCGATCACTGCGATCACCTTCTTGGCGGTGATCCTGGTGAGCCGCTCACCGCGCTCACTTCCTTGGCGGTGATCCCTCTTGCAGGCCCCACCTCAGCTTTCCCCTGGTGTTACGCCTCTTCATTGGCTTCTGTCGCCCCACCAGGCCTCGACATATGGTTGGTTCGTGACAGTACGGGTTCGAGGATCTCAACAATAAAACCTTATCATTCCAAGCCACTTAGACCATTGGATAGCTAATGCACTACTTAAGAGGGACTGAGCAGAACTTCGATAGTGCCTTAACCACTCAATGTCTTAGCAGCTCAGTCCGGGAGGCGCTCCTTCCATTTGCGTAGCCATGTACGACTCTTGACTACGTTAGAGGAAGGAACAGCTTCCTAAAATAAGTTGTAGGTCAATGGAGCATTCATTTGAGTTTGGCTCATAGACCGCTCATTTAGGGGAGGTCAACAATAACAGCTGTTTTTTGGTGAGGCGTTGATGCGCTGTCAATTGACAGGGTCACAACAGCTCCTCGACCCCCATACCGGGTAAATGTTTCAACCGCCGTGTGTATATCAAACCAGAGCTTGTGGTCGTGACAAATTGTGATGGCCATAGGGAGTTTCATCGCTTCCGGGACATAGATTCTCCAGAGGTGATTGATTAGCTCACCGCAAGGAGCTTTTTTTCCTGTGGAGATCATTTGATTGTTTTGGTGATTAGTAACAACCGGGACTGTGGAGTAGGAAAAGTCGATTTAAGTCGATTTATGGCTAGCATGGTAGGAAAGGTGGAAACTTGGGGTTTATCCCGGACTTTCTTTTCGGGCCTCTCGACTTGCAACTCGTGTATCGAAGGAGTATTCACGAAGCTGAGTAATTCCTCAAATGGAGTCCTGACCAGACCCACATGGGCCGAGTTCAAGATAATGAATCATGACGTCTGCGTAGTTCGGGAACCTTCCTAGTCGCTATAGCCGCAGTTGTTGTGGTATCAGGTTTTCTCGGGCATCTCTTATATAAGATGTCCGATGAGCTACCTCTCGGAAGCCCAGGACTTATTTACAGAACGCCGTCATATCTTACTATTCTTCATCTCTCTGGCCTCACTCTGAGACTCAGCTCGCCTCACCGTCATCACAATGTCTCTGCCCACCAAGCAAAAGCAGTGGCTCGTCGCCGGGACCGATAAGGGCTTCAACGGCCTGTTCTTCCAGGATGCCGCCGTCCCGAAGCCCGGAGACAATGAGGTGTTGGTCCGGCTGCACGGCGCCTCCCTCAACTACCGTGACCTGTTGATCCCCCGGGTACACCCCCAGCCCTTCTCCTTTTACACCCTTTCTTTCTCTTCCTTTTTTATACCCTATTCTCACTAACACAACTCTACCTATGCAGGGGGAATACATCTTTCCCCTCGATCTTCCCGTTGTGGGGGGCTCCGACGGCGCAGGCGAGATCGTGGCCGTCGGGCCCAAAGTCACCAAGTGGCGGCCCGGCGACCGCGTCGTGACGCTTTTCAACCAGGGTCACCAGTCGGGCCCCGTCGATGTCAAGGCTAGCAGGACCGGACTGGGCGGCATGCTAGACGGCACGCTGCGGCAGTATGGCGTGTTCAGCCAGGACGGCGTGGTGCACATGCCGAAGAACCTGGACTATGTCGAGGCGGCCACGCTGACCTGCGCCGCGCTGACGAGCTGGAATGCGCTGTACGGCTTGAAGCCGCTGAAGAAGGGGGAGACAGTGCTGGTGCAGGGGACTGGGGGGGTTAGTTTGTTCGCGTTGCAGGTATGCACATGTCCCCGTCCGATCTTGAATAGGGGTTGTGGTGAGCTAATGAAAGGGTGGTAGTTTGCCAAAGCCGCCGGCGCCACCGTCATCGCGACGACTTCGTCGGCCAAAAAGGCCGAGACGCTAAAGAAGCTCGGCGCCGACCACGTCATCAACTACCGCGAGAATCCCAACTGGGGCGAGGCGGCGCGCAAATTGACGCCCAACGGCGAGGGCGTCGAGCACGTCATCGAGGTCGGCGGCGAGGGCACCATGACCCAGAGCCTGCACGCCATCAAGATGGAGGGCGTCATCTCCGTCATTGGCCTGCTGACGGGCGCCAAGCCCAAGGACAACATCATGGACACGCTCGCGAGGGTGTGCACGGTCCGTGGGGTGTATGTTGGGTCCCGGGAGCAGCTGGAGGAGATGGTGCGGGCGATTGAGCAGCATGATATCCACCCGGTCGTGGACGAGACTGTCTTTACGCTCGAGAAAGTGAGGGAGGCGTACGAGTACATGGTAATTTCATCCGCCGTATGTGCCGTGGACCGAGCTGACAAACGGGACAGTGGGCTCAGAAGCACTTCGGCAAGATAGGCATCAAGATTGAGTAAGAGCCTAAGGGGCAGAGTGGAAAGGGGCAGACTTTAGCAACTATCGTTCTGGATGGCGCGGTAGCGGATGAACACTGTAACTCACTGTAGATACTTGGAATGATCTGGACAGGTCATTTGAATTCACGGTGTTATGAAACGTGCGGCCAAAACGAAGTCCAGTCGACGTCAAAATACACGTCTTCCGGCATAGCTCGGAAAGCAGCAAATATCTAAACCTGAACCACAACACGAGCCGCGATGTACAACACGTAAGCTGAGTCGACCATCAAGCTAAACAACTGCCGCCTCACAAACGTCTGCTTCCGAGCTTCACGCACCCAGATCCACAGCATGCTGAACGAGAAGTCAAACCACGGACGCGTCGACAGCACAGGCACCAGCCCGCCCACACTCATCACCCCCAAGAGAGTCAAACTGCTTGCCCGCCACAGCAGCCCCTCAAGCTTTGTCGGGAACGGAAAGGACCAGCACAAGACGTGCAACGCGGCGTGCACCACCGAGACAACTCACACAATAGTCGCCTCGGTACCCGTCGGCGGCGGCGGCGAGTAGTCGTTTGGCATCCGCGTCAGGGGACGTTTGTTCAAAACCCCGTAATGCAGCAGCGACGGCCTGCAACGTCAGCCATCCCAGACCGGCTTTTCCACGAAGTCGAGCGGCGTGTCGACGTAGAGATCCCGCGCGGCGTCGCCGGCAGCGAGGAGCAGGTCCGCCACCGTCCAATCGACGGTATTAACGGTGGGCTCGGCCACGTTCTGCGGCTTGCTCGCCCAGAAGAACGCCGTCGCGAGGTATAGGACGATGAAGGCGGCCGTGAAGACCTCCAGGGGCGTGATGATCAACTGCTGGCTGCGGCGGGCGACAATCTGCAGCAGGGTCCAGCTTGCCTGGAGAAAGGCGAGACGTTTGGCGAAGTGGTCGGCTTTGCTGCGGTCCCATATGTTGTCCCTGGTGATGTTTGGGACCTCGATCCGTTTATGGGAGCAGAGGTAGTGGATCGAGGTGGCGTTGATGGGAAATGAAGGGGAGTCGGGCGTCTGGAGGGCGAAGCCGCCGGCGTTGGCGTAGAAGGCGTGTACCCGGGTCCATTCCCGCTTCGTCCCCAACGCCCGCATCTCCTTCACCGAGATGTTGGCTGCGTTCCACTTCATGACGGCAAACAGGGTGAGCATCTCGGGTGCTGTGGCGGCGAGCCCGGCTCAGCGGCATTTTCGCAAGAAGACAGTCCAGTAGCTGTCGTCACGAGCTTGTAGGTTGTGGTGCAGGACAGTCCATACACAGACAAAGAGGCGGAGAAGGTTGGTAAAGAAGATATCGAGCGTGCCTTTGCCGTTCGGGGATGGCGTCCAGCCAACGGTGTTGAGGGAAGTCATGGTTGGGGCATCCTGTCCGGTGCTGTCGATAGACGTTGAATGTGAGATGCTGAACCTTCCTACCCGCCAACTCTCCAGTTTTTGTACGCAGTGGGTTGAATTGCGTGCTCGAGGTGTCCTGCTTCAACAGGTCGTATCCTGATTCGGCAACATGTAGCGCCGTGTTTTTTGTAGCCGCCCGCGCCGCAGGCTTGCGCCCAATCCAACATGAAACACAGGATTGGCGGGTGCCGCGGCGGTCGGCGCGCTACGGCTGCAGCTCGTCGATGATGGGCTGCCAGATGATAGCGACTGCGGAGGCGAACAGCAGCGCAGACTGAAACAGTGCTGCAGGTAGTCCTAGCAAGCCAGCCTGGTGCAGATGCAGGCGGATGCTGTAGATAGCAATCTTAAAGAAGTAGTAGAACAGACGGAACGGATCGTCAACAAGACCGCCCATGATCCAGGCTGGCTCGGCAAAGTTCCGCTCGCCTTCCTGGACGTAGCGGATGAAGCCTCGTTGTATAATTCCTAGCGTTGGGTCTGTAGTTGGGGTGAGCAAACCGGACGACACGCCCGAGCAGGGAGGGAGCCGCGGGACGAACGTTCTGATACGAAAAGAAGGTAGAGAGCCTGTGCGAGAATGTTGAGACATGCGCTATAAGCTTTCCTTCGCCAATGAAACCGACACATTTCCTTCAAGGCGGCTTGAGTGTCTGTCAGCGACGAGATCCGCGCAGGGCTGAGCAGTCGGCCAGGAGAACCGCATCCTTGAGAGCAACAGTCATGCCAGCCCCGGTGACGGGATGGCGCATATTCAACGCATCTCCCAGCATGATCAAACCTGGCGTTGTGTCGCGTTAGATGGCAGCCACGCATTGGGCATGCTGCGAATGCGGCCGCTTTGAATGGCTTTGCCGAGGCTCGGTTGTACGGACGGCGGCACTGTTGGGACGACGCGTTGGCGGATGTAGTCCCTGACCGATCCGCTTGTTCCCGAGCCGGCGATGGATCTCGTCCAGAATGTCGATGAGGATCCGGGTTTCGCAGGCACTGATCTGGTACATCAAATGACGGACAAACCCCAAGAACGCCGAATGCATACTACGGACGGGGAAGGTCGGCATCAATCAGTTCGAGCCCCCAGAACCGGGATTGCGCCTTTGGTCGGTTCCGGGTGAACTGCGACCTAAACTTGGAAGACAACCCGTCCGCCAGGACGGTGAGAGACGCGTAGTACTGCATAGCATGTCAGCTACTTGTAGAAGGCAACAAAGTCCAGCCCAAAGCCACCGACTTTTTCCGGAGCGCCTCCGCTTTGTGCACAAACTGCTCCCACAACAGCACCTGACGTCTCCTCTCATAGCAATTCCGAGGCCGTTGCTTCCAGCGAGGTAACATGAGGCAGGCCGGACACGGCATCACGCAGAGTTGCAACTAATCTGCCATGGTGAAAGCTGCGCCCGACAGGCCCGCCGGCTTTGCTGCTGCCGGGGAGAGGGCAGAGCCAGAAGGTCGCCTGCTGATCTTTCCAGTAAAGATGATATCCCTCGACAGGCGTTGCTTCGATGCCACTCAAGCAGTGCGCCAGGCCGAGTTGGGACAGCGCCGCGACGCCTCCTGGCTGGAGAAGCTCCCCGACAATCCTGTCTGGTTCGCGCAGGCTCCGCTCAACCACAAGAACGCGTCGCCATTGCCGGGCAAAGGCCGATGCGATGGTGCAGCCGGCAATCCCAGCACCAACAACGAGTACATCGTATTCGGCTGTCATTCAAGGATATCGGGGGAGGGGATCTCGGTCTCAACTTGGACGTTCTTCGGAAACAATCGCGCCGCGTTGATTTGCGGCTGCAGTCACGCAGCGGTCTTGTAGAAGACACATGAATTAGCGGATCGAAATGGTGAATTCACGATACTTCGATATCCGATTTGAGATGGCATGTAAGATCAGTGTAAGGAAATCAAGGCGGTGTTGCACCAGATGACGAGCATACTTTACCGATGCGGTCTTGGGGTGATGTTTGGTAAATAACGTTATTGTGACAGATGGTGAGGTTGGCCTGTAATTCAATCCATGTCACTTCAACTTTTAGCGCCACCCCGCCCGGCTCCTCAGCTTTCGGGGTCCCCGCCATCACCCATCATTCACCCAGCTTGAGCTAGCAAACAGGTGCCCTGGCTTTCCTTTAGCATCAAAATGGCTGCGTGGCGAAGGATACCCGCATTTTGCTCGATCGACGCGGCAGAAAGTTGCAACCCAGCAAGATTAACAAGACGAAGCTGCGCACCAACGATTTTGACAATCTGACGCCCACCCCTCCAAGTCATATTGTCACGACTTGCCGTTCTCAACCGGAGCCTAACATCAGAGCATTACCTCCCTCCCAACCAGTCCCGGTTGGCTTCAACGAGACGTCATGTCTTCATCACCATCGCCTCCTCTTCCCTTCCCTCCTCATCTAGTAATCCCCCTGGTCCGCAGCACCCTCCATGACCGCGTCGCAGGCGTCCTCGTCGGCTCAGCCCTCGGCGATGCAATCGGCCTTTACACGGAGTTCCTCTCCGCCCCTCACGCCGCAGCCGCCTACCCCACCCGCAAATTCACCCTCACCGGCCCGCCGCACGCAACACCCTTCAAACTCGACGCGCACCGCGCACCAAAGGAGGCAGGACACTGGACCGACGACACGGACCACGCCCTTTTACTCCTCCTCTCCTTCCTGCACACCGCCAGGACCGAGACTGTAGGCCATGATGCGCCGCCGCCGCTGCCGACGCAAACCGACCTCGCCGCACGCTTGCGCGTGTGGGTTACCCAGGGCTTGAGAGTGTTGGATACCATGCCGCTGGGTCTGGGGAGGCTCGTCGGGACGGTGGTGGCGAGTGCAGGGTTTGACACCGAGCCCGAACGGGTGGCGAGGGAGTACTGGGAGCGGACTGGCAAGCGGGTCGCGCCGAACGGGAGTCTGATGCGCACGCATCCGTTGGGGGTGATGTGTCTGTTTCGCGGGGAGGAGGAGGCGTTTGAGGTCGCGGCGAGCATTTCGAGAGTCACGCATGTCGATCCGAGGTGTGTGGTTGCTTGTGTTATTGGCACGGGGTTGTTGCGGGCGTTGGTCCGGGGGGAGGTTCAAGGGGAAGGGGATATGGATGCGTTGGTTGAGCGGGCGGTGGAGTGGCATCGTAGAGAGGGAAAGGGGGAGGGGCAGGAGTTGGAAGTGGAGGAGCTGTGGAGGCATGTCAGGTCTAGCGGAGGGCTTGAGGATCTGAAGCTTGATGATCAGGCTGCAATGGGGTATGTGTACAAGACGCTCGGGTCGGGGGTGGTGCTGTTGCGCATGGCTATGAAAAGGATAGCCGCAAGCCGCGGGGGATTGCTTGATCGGACTCGCCTTTTCGAGATACTCATTACGGACCTCATTATGCGAGGTGGCGATGCCGACACCAATGCATGTTTCGCTGGCGCACTCCTTGGGGGGTATCTCGGGTACTCATTCCTACCGGACCACTGGAAGCATGGACTGAAACATGGGGAATGGCTGCTCAGCAAGACGGACGCTCTCTGTCAGGTTCTGCGCTTGAAGGACGGAGAATACAGCGGCAAAGAGGACAAGGATACTGAGATTCACGGCGGGCGGCCGGAACTCCGCCAGGACGAGATGGAGGGGCGTTGGATGTTGCTGCAGCAGGCCACAGTCAGGAAGATGGAGGAGACAGCAAAGGCGACGTCTTCGAAAGTCACTGGGTTGGGCTGGTCGCTTCCATGGCAGTCGAAGGAGAAGAAGAAAAGATAGAAGCCTGGGCTGGACGATGTGCTGGGTGAGGGGTGTAAAGCGATACAAGTCGTTCCACCACGACGTTTCCCAAACTTTGCAGCAACGTCATAAATCAATTAGTTGGTTATCTGTAATAACTCAGTACAAAGGTCCGCTGGCTCAATGGCAGAGCGTCTGACTACGACTCGGTAATCAGGAGGTTCCAGGTTCGACCCCTGGGTGGATCGAAGCGTACAACACTTTACTTTTGCGTCGCATTGTTACTCCTCTTTTCTACTGCTTCGCCACTACATCTTTTCATTTTCCGGCTCCTGGGTTCTGCAACCCATGACTTCGTTTCGAGGCCCGAAACCTCTCACACAGTAGGCTGAACGCTGGCATCCAAACAACGCCTTACCCCTTGTCCAAACCCTTTTACCATTTCAGTCTTTCGAAAAGTTACTCACATCAGCACTACGCATTCCCCCCTTTACCCCTATCCCCAACATCCAACCTCTTCACAACCCTCGCCGGATTTCCCGCAACAACCACAAAATCCTCCACATTCCTCGTCACAACACTCCCCGCACCAACCGTCACGCCCCGCCCGATGGTCACTCCGGGACAAACGACCACGTTGCCGCCGAACCAGCAGTCCTCGCCGACGGTGATGGTCTTGCCGAGCTCCGGCCCGCTGATTCCATGCCGCACGAAGGGGTCGGTCGGGTGGGTGGCGGCAAAGAAGGAGCAGTTCGGCCCGATGAGGGTGCGCGCGCCGATGGTAATGGTGCACGTGTCGAGGAAGGTCGCGTTAGAGTTTATGTAGACTTGCGGGCCGAATCTGTGGCACGTCGTAAGGGCATGTGGGGGTGGGTTAGGGGCATGAGAGGGGAGGAGGAGCGGGAGACGGACTTGCAGTAGATGCCATAGTCCATTTTGATGGGGCCGTCTACGTAGGGGTAGTTTGCCAGGACGGCTTCTTCTTCGGGGGTGCCTGGTGGTGGGAGAGGTGTTTCGTCACGGATGATGCTGGAGCAAGTGAGTGAGTGGGCTCATCAGTGGGTGGGTCGACGCCAAGGGATGAATGACGCACTCTTTCCAGAGTTCGACGAGTCGTCGTCGTGAAGCGCCGTTAGCACTCTCCGTGTTATAGGCATTGCAGGCCACCTTGGCGCGGGTGCGGTCTTGTGTGAGGTCAGGGGTAAAAGCGTAGTACAGTTCGCCGGCGAGCATGCAGCGCCGGTTTTCGGCCAGGTCGAGGGTCTTGGGGTCCATGGCGGATGTGTACCTAATGTCTAGAGAGAATAATTGTTGACAGTGAAGGGAATATACTCAAAATTTGTACAATCGTTGCCAGGACCCTCAATTTTTGAGACCCCGGATGCTGAGCCGATGAGCCAACTCGCTGTTTTATGGCCGAGGTGCTGGTCTGAGAAAGGTGTGCAAGCGGGGTCAGAGGCGCAGCTTGCCTGAACAGCGGGTCCAAGGTTCCTCGGTCCGGGTTGGTAGCGGAGTTTCCAGGTTTGGCATCGTTCAATACAGCGGACCAAGTCGCCAAGATGATCCACACTTCCGCCCTTACAAAATATCATCCGGGAAGTACGAAAGTCATGGTGCTCCATCCATACGTACAAGGTAGCTCAAAGACACGCCATGTCTCCCCGGACTGTGAGAACAGCCCAGATGTAACAAGCTTGTTATCTAACACACAATGTTCGCAGTAGATGAGGTACTGTTGCCGCTGAGAGGCCGCAGGTGCCGGTCCCTGAGTTCAGGGGTCCAGATGAGAACTTGAATTACACCCGACTTGCTCCTTTGCCACCTGAACCCATGATGTGCGCTTGATATCAGCTACCTAGAAAAACTCACGGTCTCCTTGTCATATTGCCTCTAACTATTCGGAAACCTCTCCATGTCCCTTCTGCGCCTTCCGTCAGATCATGCCCATCCTAGTTGTCCGAGGGGGACTGTGCCGATCCGAGAATAGCAATCCTCAGTGACGGTCCTAAGTCTTTTCAAGTCATCCCAACAGGTAGCTTCAGTCCTCTCTTGTGTACCAGTGTAGACATACCACAGGAAATAGTCGTAATCTTTTGTCTTCCCATTCGCGAGCAGTAAGAGCACCGTCTATCTAAGTCCTGTTGAAGCCACCCACATCCTCTCAATCCATCAACACCACGACGAGCTCGTTCAACAACTTTTATTCTGCCTCCCGCTGCTGTGCTACATGTTTGAGTATCTTCTTTATACAGATTAAGATGAGTAACCCCACGACGTCAATAAAGCCGACCGAGACGGGTCTGTATGGATTCCACGTTTTGGGGACATTGAGCGTCGATGAGGCGCCCGTGCGGGACAAATGTTGGGCCTGTCTAGCAGAGCAGTGGGAATGTCTCGACGGGCGTCCAGGCCCACGTCGGAACTTAATGTTAGGGGATCACAAAAGGCACACAGCCAAATTGCACGTTATCTTATCGGGTCATCTCGACTTCCCCAGCACCTGAACCACAGGCTGTGCCTGGAACACCATGATCCATCAACCA